GAGAAGTACCACCCTGAGCAAGCTGAAACAATTCATCTTTGCAACAAGTTCAGTGACAGAACCATGTCCCATTTTAGGGAAATCTTAGAGGCACCAGAAACAGAGGACTGTGGACAGTTATTTTGTGAGACAGGAGCCCAGTGACTCAAGCTGGTCCTAGTGGCATTAAAAGACAGAGAAGGGAAGTAACCCCAGAGAGGGCTTTACCTGAAGTTCTCATGGAGGGGGATTCTCCTTCCAAACACTAACCTCAACTCCCTCTCTCCTCCTCCCTATCTTCCAGATGCCATCACCAATCTTCAATAAAGGTAATTAAAAATGTTATTTTATATTTATATACATAATTGAACACTATAGTATTTGTTGTGTGTATGTAAAACTAATTAATCTCTATAAAATGTATTTTTTTTTTTGTGAATATTTTTGGGTTTCTGGAACGGATTAATTGTATTTCCATTATTTCTTATGGGAAATATTGCTTCGATTTTCAGACTTTTCGAATTTAGAACTAGCTCCTGGAACGGATTAAGTTCGAAATTTGAGGTTCCACTGTAGTTGAATTATTTTATTTTTTTCATAGTCTCAGACTGTGTGCATTACAAATAATTCAATATTTTTTTCTTTCATGCCCTCATCCTTTCTGTGGTCAGCAATGGCTCTCTTGTATCTCTGACACAAAAAGTTTTCTTTTGCTGGGGTCCCAGGTCATGCAGGAGCTCAGCAGACACATCTACTTTTGGCAGTTGAGGACCTTGCAGTCTCCCATTGCCATTCTCTAACTAGTGTTTTCTGGTACTGTTTCTTTACCAGATTACTGGTGGCATCTTTTGTTTACAATAGTGACCAGCACTTTTTTTTTTTTTCATGAAACTACAGTTGGGCTTTTTGGCCATCTGACTTTATTGTTGGACACTACTCTTGGTCCTGCATATTGGTCACACTAGATTTGTTTGATCATCTTATTGTGGAGGATAGCACTGCTATATGCTAACCTGTTTTTTCCTACTTGTCTTTCAGCATCCTGACTTAATTTATCTGTCCTTGCATCTTAGTTCCACTTATAATATAAATGTTCTCTATGGTTTCATATCCAAATGCATTATGACTCTCCTATTGAATTTATGTTCATCTACAACACTTCTAGCTCTACCTACAGCCTTATCCATGCCACATAGAAATGAAAGCCCTATGCTGGTTTAGCGCTTTCTGATGAATACACTGTATCAGTAGCAATAATCTGTGTAATACTACACTGAAATTTAGGTACCACCAAGAGAGTGAAAGTACGTTGCAGACACGATCTTCATTGTTTAAAATAGATACAATACAAGAGTCACCTGATGTATTTACTGATAAAATTTTATGGTGATTGCCTATCTGACCCTAAAGGACACGGAGACTAACCTCTTACTGGAGCATTTCTCAAGTCGGTGAGAAAGTAGATACCTTATTGGAAGGGTAGAGATGTAGTGTAGGTTGGACAGTGAGGATTGTAGTTTGTTGAAAACACAGAGCAGTTTCAGTCACCATACTGACTGCCAGACCTATTGAGTGTGAAGCAAACAGTGGCATCTTCCCTCTTGAAGTGCGCCCTTTGTTTTAAAAATGGCTCTAATTGTGGGACGAACTCAGATATTTATGTAGGTGTTCCTTTAACCCCTTTGTAGAGTGACCAAAGTTAAGAAGCCCCTGATAAATAGTTATGCAAAAATTCTTTTTGCCCCTTGTATAGTGACTGATGTTAAGAAACCACTAAACTGGTACAGTGGACCCCCGGATTTCTTCCGGTGCGGATATCGTACAATTTGGATTTTGACCACTTTTTTGGGTGAAATTTTACCCCGGGTTTTGTACCTTTGCTTGGAAATCGTCCGTATCAGACTCATCCGCCTGCCCGGAATGTGGCTGCTCACACATGTATGTGACTCAGTCTGCCTCTGTCACTGGTTCAGTGAGCAATACTCCAAGCATTCATCCAAAACATTGGTGGTAGAGGGTGGTAGTGATGGTGGTAGAGGGTGGTTGTGATGGTGGTAGAGGGTGGTTGTGGTTGTGATGGTGGCAGAGGGTGGTAGTGATGGCAAACAATCGAAGATGTTGAAAAGTTGTTGGTGTGGATCAATGAAAAAGTTAGCGGGAGATAGTGTTGTGGAGGCGATAATTTGTGAAAAGGCAAGGCAGTTGCATGCGGATCTCATAAAGAATACGCCAACAAGAGTCTTCAATAAAGGTAAAAGTGATTTAAATGTTCATTTATCCATTAAAGTTAGTGCTTTATATTTATTTCTCATTGTTTTCTGTATGTAAAACTATAGTTATTCTCTATAAAATATATATTTTGTTAATATTTTTGGGTGGCTGGAATGGATTAATTATATTTACATTATTTATTGGAAATATTACTTTGGTTTTTGTCCATTTTGGATTTTGACCGACCTTCTTGAATGGATTAAGGACAAAGCGGGGACTCCACTGTATAGGTGTATGAAATTGAGAGCCTATGCGCCTACAAAAAGGTGTTAACACTACCATAGATATAGAAGTGGTGCCACAGATTTACTCAACCTAGAGTGGTGGTTGCTGAAGATTTCTGACAAAATGGAAGCATAGCCCAACAGTTCATCTTTATAGAAGTTTCTTCAAGGAAGATGTGCTTTGATGCTGGTGAAGGGTTTTTGATCTAAAGTAGTGGAGCTACTCTCCTTAGATAACTCTTAACTACCTCCTATTCCCCAGGTTCTGTATTACCTATGTGGGCTTAATGCTTACCTATGATATACAAAAATAAAAACAAGTACTGACAGGTGAGAACTCGTATGCAAGGATGCTCACTTGTTAGTACAAAATATGGAAGCCTTGAAAATAATGTTGGTATGGGTAGCAATGGACTCTTGAGCTATAGTGAGCAGACACTGATGAGTCTTTCACCTTAGCTTCAAGACTGCCAATCAACAATAATCTCTTGATTACCAGAGCATCCAGTGATACTGATCAGATAAGTACATCTTGCTTGAGAGCCAGAAGAGATGTTGCTTCATCTGATTCAGTAAATGTGGCACTTTTTTTTTTTTTTTTTTTTGCACTGGTCATCTCCCACAAAGGTAGGCTGACCTGAAAAGGAAGAAATACTTACACTATCACTCACTCTGTCACTGTCTTGCCAGATGACCTTCCAAACTGCAAATATTCCCACCCCTCCTTTGGAGTGCAGGCACTGTACTTCCCACCTCCAGGACTCGAAGTCCAGCTAACTGGTTTCCCTGACTCACTCCATAAATGTTACCTTGCATATACTTCAACAGGATGTCGACTTACAAAAACAACTTGCCTCCACTCCTTTCTTAACATGTTCACACATGCCTGCTGAATGTCCAAGCCCCTTACATACAAAACCACCGTTACCCTCTCCCCCCCTGCCTCTAGCCTTTCTTAGGGCAACCTTTACCCTGCCTTCCCTCCACAAAAGATTTATACACCCTGCAAGTCATCCTATTTTGCTCTATCCTCTAAATACACAAACCATCTTGACAACCCCCACCTCGGCCCATTTGATAATACTTGTTACTGATCTTAAAGAACAGTTGAGCATGGGGGTTGCTATGAGCTAATTTGTCATCCAGTTAGTGTGTTCACTTTCCTTTGAATTACCCACATTTTTTGTTGATTTCTTCCCAATCTAACTATAAAAATTTAATACACTATTTGTTATTCTTGGTTAGGTTAAGTTAAATATACAGTGGTACCTTGGGTTACGAACAGCTCAAAACTCGAACAGTTATGTGAGTGTATTTATGCAAGTGCTTTTGTAAGTGTATTTTTGGGGGTCTGAAACAGGCTAATCAAATTTACATTATTTCTTATGGGAACAAATTTGTTCGGTATCAGCACTTGAACAGCCTTCTGGAATTAAAAAAGTTCGTATCCTGAGGTACCACTGTACAATGAAACCTTGATTTAATAGATTTGTAAGAGGGAGGGTATCCTTAATGCTGATTTGCCATTATCTGAATGGTGTGATAGTTTTTTCCTGGTGGTAACATTTCTGTATTTAACAATGTCTTTTAAATCCAAAATTAATTTGCTCAGTGGACCACAACAATAACAGAAAATTCTGGATTTTGCATGTTAAATCCATAATCAGTTTAATTGAGACTGGACTGTAGTAATCTCTATTTCCATATAATTAACTAAAAATAAGGTAAAAAAGCTAGGTAGCTGATGTCTGACAGTGAGACCTCATAATAGTACCTTTCAGTAGGGACATCTCATGGATGCTAACAAAAAAAAAAAAAAAAAAAAAAAAAAATCTGGAGGATGGGATGCATAAGAAAAAAAAAGAGGGAGATAGATGCTGGGCAGGGAAAGGTGTGGAAGGTAGATGAAAACCTAGAATGAGGCCAAGAATCAGACTGATCATCTGAAAACTGTTAACGCCTCATTCAGCCATGAGTCAAGACGAGTATGCTGTGACCTTGAGTATCTTAATAAATTATTTTTTCTTAAACTTCATTGGTTCAAACTTGATAATCTCCCATTCCCCAGATATTGTATAATGTTTAATCTTGATTCTGCAGTACTATACCTATAATTCCTGGAGCTGCAAATGAGCCAAAAATTAAGAAAGAAACACAGGAAAAATAGTAGACAAAAAAACGTAAAAGTGAACCTAATCTTTTAAAGGTTGTTGGAAGTATATAGACAAAATATTGTGCAAGATGTTTAGTATTAAGTTTCCAGAGTGTATTTACAGAAGACAACTGCATGAAATGGATTTGAACTGAAACAGCCTTTTAAAATGGACTCCATTGAAATAATCAAAGAAGAGGTAAAAAACGGTTGGGGCACTGACAAAAAATTAATAGGACTAGGTCATAACTGCAGGATATCTCCTTGTTTATGTTTTATTCCATTTAGTATCTAATGCCATAATAATCAGTTATTCGAAATGTACTTGTAAACACTATACATGTACTATGTCTATTAACCTGACATTTTTCCAGGTCTGTGATTGATAATGGCAGTAGCTGGGAACTACTACTTTGCTATTGTTGGTCACCATGACAATCCAGTGTTTGAGATGGAGTTTACGCCAGCCAACAAAGAGCCCAAGGTTAGGCCAGTTTGTGTGTTGTTAACTAATAGCATTTTAATTATCAACAAAATAGCTGGCTTAAATTTATCTTAATTTTAGTTCTTGGTCAAAGAATTTTGAATATTTGTAAATACAGTGCTCTACTATAGTACAGTGGACCCTCGACCAACAATTTTAATCCGTTCCAGAGAGCTTGTCGTTAGCCGAATTTATTGTTAGCTGAATTAACTTTCCCATAAGAAATAATGGAAATCCAAGTAATCTGTTCCAGACAGCCAAAAGTATTAAAAAAAAAAAAAAAATTTTTTACATAAAATATACATTTCCCTACAAAGAAAACAATGAGACATGCACAATAAATACATACATAAATCAATACTAAAATGACACCTTTATTGAAGAGAGTTGATGAGTGATGAGACACTGTTTTTCTTGAACACTGGGATTTTCAGAGTGATACATGAGTAAAGGCTTTACTTTGCAATCCCCACTAGCATTACAACAAAACATGAGAGTTAGCCTGTCTTTCATAGGCTTGTGTCCTGGGAGTGCCTTTTCCTCCTGAGTAATGTAGGTCCTGTTTGGCATTTTCTTCCAGAACAGGCCTGTTTCATCACAATTGAACACTTGTTGGGGTTGGAATTTTTCAGCTTCGCCATGCCTTATCACACTGTGTATGCCACTACGATTCTTAAATCTCTCAAACCAACCTTTGCTGGCCTTATATTCACCAATATGAGCACTAGTTCCAGGCATTTTTTCCTGTTCACCTGGGTGTTAGTCGACTGGTGTGGGTCGCATCCTGGGGGACAAGATTAAGGACCCCAATGGAAATAAGTTACAGTCTTCGATGACACACTGACTTTCTTCGGTTATCCTAGGTGGCTAACCCTCTGGGGTTAATTGTTTCTCGTTAAGCCACACCAACAACACACACTCCACATCTTTGAGTAGTACAGCTGACAGTGGTGCAGCAGCAGCTGATGGTGGTGCAGCAGCAGCTGATGGTGGTGCAGCAGCAGCTGACAGTGGTGCAGCTGCTGACCATGGTACAGCAGCAGCTGATGGTGGTGCAGCAGCAATTGATGGTGGTACAGTAGCAACTGACGGTGGTACAGCAGCAGCAGCTGACGGTGGTGCAGCAGCAACTGATGGTGGTACAGCAGCAACTGACGGTGGTACAGCAGCAGCAGCTGATGGTGGTGCAGCAGCAGCTGACGGTGGTACAGCAGCAGCTGACGGTGGTACAGCAGCAGCTGATGGTGGTGCAGCAACAGCAGCAGCTGACCATGGTACAGCAGCAGCTGACAGTGGTGCAGCAACAGCTGACCATGGTATGATAGTATTTCGATAGTATTTCTCACCTTTTTACCACAGGGTTGGCATTAGAAGCTTTCTTTGGGCCCATGGTGGCTTATTTAGCAGTTACAAGCACTAAAAACAATGGAATAATACAAAATATGTATGTGTGAAACCGTCCGCCCTGGCTTGTAAACAATGGCACACTAGCTGAAGGCAGGACAGCTGAGGCGCTCAGGCTGGATGGACAGGCGGACGCGTTCGGGACAAATGACCTTACCTGAGTTTTTCATCGTTGGTTGAGCCAATATGTATTTTTACACAAAAACGCATCGTTGCCCGATTTTATCGTTAGTCGATGCCATCGTTGGTTGAGGGTCCACTATGTGTCATAAGAGGCAGGACAGCACTGTGCATTTATCTGTCAATCTTAGTGTAACCAGCAACATGTTAGACTGCAAAGATGTAGCATGCTATTCAAGAGAATAATGTAATCCTTGATCCTATATTTGTGATGACACAGTATGGTAAATTGGAACTTTTCATATTGCCTGAAAGTTTCTTAATTGTTCACTTTTTTTTTTACAAATATTAATCATTAGAGAATAATCTTTAAATTCTCCATTAATTTCAGTCAGTTTGTGTCTTTCTTTACTACAGTAAACCCTAGATATAGCATAGCTCATTATTGTTATAATCAAAACTAAGTACTAAACCCACAAGGGTTATACAGTGCTGAGAGCATACCTCAGTTTAGTGGACTTCAAAAATATAGGACAAAGTTCACTGGGTTAATTTTGAAACAACAGACAAAATATGTTGATTACAGAATTGTCTCTTATTGTTATGATTACAGCAAAACAATCTTGTCTCTACCGTAGTTAACATTATTGGCCACCCGCTTCTCCCTGTTAGTCCATTAAATCGAAGGTTTACTGTATCATTGAAAATGGTTGCTGCTAAGTTCAGTACAGTTGAGTAAAGATGTAGAAACAAATTTTAAATATCATGCCTTTTATATCATTGGATAAATATCTCTTCTCTAGAGTCCATTTTGGGTATACCAAACCCAAAATGACAACTGAAATGGTAAAGTATATTGTTCACCACATAACTGACAAGATAATTTTATATTTGCTCCATATTCTGTATTCATTATTATAAATTTGTAGAAAAAATAGTCTCTACACTTCATAAATACATTTCTTTATAAAAAAGAATAATCTGAATGTGGGTAAGATGTTATAATCTTGAAATATAGAAGATACGGTTGATATTACAGAAGGAAGATCACCGGCATCTCAACCAGTTCATCGCTCATGCAGCCCTGGACCTGGTGGATGAGAGCATGTGGACCACAAGCAACATGTACCTTAGACTGGTTGACAAGTTCAATGAATGGTAAATTCACTTTAGTTGTACTGTACATGTTCTAGGTATTGTAATGTAGTCCATGCTTAACAAAGAGGAGGCATTCTGGAAAAGCAATAGTGCCAAGGGAATTTTTGTAGAAGGAATTGCATTTTCCCATACACTTTCATTATGTAAATTAAGAAATAATCTTAAAAAGTATTATGACTCAAAGAGTAAGAAAAATTTAACCAAGAAATGAAAGAAAAATGCATGCAACCAGGAGAATAAAATGCCTCAAAATATTCACTTTTGTTTCTAAGGTAATGATCATCTTTTTTTCTCTTCATGCCATTAGTCCTAACTATTTAATGATCTTTTGGAACTCACTTTGGAAAGGGTGGAACTTGAATTAAAATCTTTGGAAAGAAATCAGCATTACAGTTGTAACCATTCCTATGGGCCATCAGCTAAGGAGTAAAAATACATCACAAAAGTGGCTAGAATGCCATAGCATGTGAGCTGTAGAAATTGTTGATGATAGAAGCTTTATTTCTATACACCTCTTGTATATTCATTAGTCAAAAGTTAATAAATATTTTTTATGTTGACTGTTTCTGACCAATGTAGAGTGGCCCAAAGAAGGCAGCAACATAGACAGTAGCTGTCTTGTCTAAAGTATGTGGACATCACAATCCAAATGTCTTAATGAGCAGCATCATTCCCACTTTCTTTTTAGAGTACACATGCTGAGCTTACACTCCAACAGTATATATCCCTACAGATCACTTGCCTTTACCCTGATCTAACATGCTCACATATGCCTTCCCTCCAACCATTCTTGGGACGATCCCAACCATTCCTATTTCCGTCCATCCTCTTCAACCTTTCAGGGTCGGAACCTCTGATCTGAGAATTGCTCTCAGGGTTGAAGAATTTAAAAAAAATTTTGTATGAAATGATAGAGAATCTTTTTCTGAAGATGATGGAACCATCAGTGATTTAACCACTTTGAGCCCTATTTTTAACCGATTCCACTGTTCCAGTCAGCCAAACTCATAATTATTTTGCCACAATTCCTTCAATTCTATCAACTGAGTACAAGAAACCACCCATTTACCTTTTTCAACTACTCAGTAAAGCGATGAGAAATCAGTAATTTGGCCAGTTTCACACAAAATTAAAAAAAATTCCAGTTTAAAAATAGGGTCCAGAATAAACAATATAGACATTCCTGGCACTAAAAAAAAAAAATTTCCTCAGTTCATTAGTTACATCCTCAGGCTTCTCCTATATTACACTTGCTTTCCATTTTGAATTTTTATTTGCACAAAAAATAGATTTATGCAAACTACTGTATTATTGTAATAATTATACAAATAATGTTGGTGCATTCCTAAATGCATATTTGACTGATTAGTTGGACATGTATTAAACGAGCGATGTCATTTGTGTACTCTGGAATATCAACAAAAATCGAATAGTTCCGCTACTTCCAGCTCAATTTCAAGCTACTTTTAGTCCTGAAACTAGTCAAAATCATCTCTGTTTCTGTAAAATACCTTCCACTCCATCAAATGAGACCAAGAAACCAAGAATACAACAACAAAAGCCGTACGAAAATACACCACAAATTTGCTTGTTTTTTCCCTATTATGTACTGCGTGTAGCAGGTTTTTTTTATATGGTGCAACTACCGCATAGACCCATTCTCTCATATCTAGGCCCCAGTTTACCACTTACTGCGTATCTGAATGAGCTGAGCTCATCACACAATTCTTTGGCATGGACAGAGACTTCAAACCCGTAAAATTATGGCATAGGTGGTAAAGGGGTTAAAGAATCACTTCATATATTATAGATTTCCTTCTTATGTTACTACTAAATATTTTCAGTGTTTCATGTATATGCACAATTTTGACAATTGTTAAGCAGTATCCTGTAGACACATTTAAAACTAAATGTAAAATGTAATTTTTTGGCAGTTTCAGGATTCTTCCAGTGATATCAATGTCATATTAAGAATACACAATGATTTTATGTCAGTTCAACCCTTTGACTGTTGCAGCCCCAAATCCTGATGTGTTTCCTGGTGTCGCAGAATATTTGAAAAAAAAAAGAATTATTTTTTCTTGTGAAATGATAGAGAATCTTTTCCCGATGATAATGACACCAAAAGAACGAAATTTGATGGAAAACTCACAGAATTATGCTCTCGCGAAGTTGGTGACCTCGGTGACATTTACGCATCGGCGATTTTGCCCACTTTGAGCCCTATTTTTGACCAATTCAATTGTTCCAGTCCACCAAACTCATAGCTATTTCTTTAGAACTCCATTTGCTCTATCGATTGAGTACAAGAAACCACTCATTTGCTGATTTCATCTTCCCAATAAAGTGGTCAGAAATTGGCAATTTGGCCAATTTCATGTAAATTAAAAAAACGTCAATTTCAAAATAGGGTCCAGAATGAACAATGCAGATATTCCTGGCACTAAAATAACATTTTCTCTGTTCATCAGTCACGTCTCCAGGCCCCTGTTATAATACTCTTGCTTTCTATTTTGAATTTTTATTCACACAAAAAATAGAAGATTTACTGTTACGCAGATTACTGCAATATTGTAATAATTGTATAAATAATGTCAACCCATTCATGACTGCATATTAGAATGGCTAGTTGGACATTTATTGGACAATGACGTCATTTGCTTACTCTTGAACATTGGCAAAAATCGAACATTTCTGCCACTTTGAGCTCCATTTCAATATCCTTTTCATAGTAAAACCAGTCAAAATCACTTCAACTTCTATAATATGTTTTCCATTCTGTCAAATGAGACCAAGAAAACAAGAATACAATCATAAATACAGTGGACCCCCGCATAACGATGGCATCGCATAGCGATTTTTCCGCATAACGATTACTTTTATCGCAAAATTTTTGCCCCGCATACCGATTAAAAACCCGCATACCGATTTTCGTCCGAGACGCGTCCAATGTGCCCTCACATGTGCCGGCCGTCCCATTGTTTACCAGCCAGCCTCCGCGGTAACATCCAAGCATACACTCGGAATATTTCGTATTATTACAGTGTTTTCGGTGGTGTTTCTGGAAAATAAGTGACCATGGGCCCAAGAAAGCTTCTAGTGCCAACCCTGTGGTAAAAAGGGTGAGAATTAGTATGGAAATTAAGAAAGATTTTGAAGGGTTTGGGGCTAACCCTGAGAAGCCTATGCCAGTTGTGGAATCCATTGTGCCTACTTCAAAGATTAAGGAAATGTGTGCAGAGTGGTTTGAACTGCAAACCTTTATAGATGAAAATCACCCTGACACAGCTGTTGCAAAGCCGTGCGGTGACTATTCAATGACAATGTTATGGCCCATTTTAGGAAAGTCTTGAAGAAACGGGAGGTACAGAGCTCTATGGACAGATTTGTTGTGCGACAGAGGTCCAGTGACTCTGAAGCTGGTCCTAGTGGCATAAAAGAAGAAGGGAAGTAACCCCAGAAAAGGACTTGCTACCTCAAGTCCTAATGGAAGGGGATTCCCCTTCTAAACAGTAAGAAGATAATGCTCTCCCCTCCTCCCATCCCATCAATCATCACCAGATCTTCAATAAAAGTAAGTGTCATGTAATTGTGCATGCCTTTTTCAGTTTGTGTGTATTAAAATTAACATTTCATGTGGTAAAAAAAATTTTTTTTCATACTTTTGGGCGTCTTGCACGGATTAATTTTATTTCCATTATTTCTTATGGGGAAAATTAATTCGCATAACGATTATTTCGCATAACGATGAGCCCTCTTGCACGGATTAAAATCGTTAACCGGGGGTCCACTGTACTGTACAAAAATACACCTCAAAGTTGGTGTTTTAATCCAAAAACACGGTCGGAGTTTTTTTTTCTCGTTATGCACTAAGTGCTGCAGGATTTTATTTATACTGTGCACACTGACCACACAGACCCATTCTCTCACATGTAGGCCTACCAGCTTTCTCCTGCTTGATTTGAAGCCACTAAAACTTTTGAGTACAGTAGGGCCCCACTTATACGGCTGGTTAGGTTCCAGGCTACCGCCGTAAAGCGGAAACCGCCATAAAGTGGAATACCCTTTTTTTCCACTTACAAATGCATACGAACACTAGATAACAAGTTTACACTAACATATATTAAGTTAGCAATAGAACCAGGCATCAAAAAACAGTAAAAAAGTACAATACACACATAGTGCACTCATTACTTACCTTAAAATATTTATAGTCTTAATCTAGGGTGAGACAAGTAGTATTTATTGTAAGAAATCAAGTGTGGTATGTATGGTAGTCAGCCAGGCTACCATACCAGGCCACCCCACCCACACATACAATTCTATGATATTTAAGCATCCCAGAGCGATAAAATGTATATACAGTTCACTCATACTTACCTTAAAATATTGTAGTCTTAATGTAGGGTCAGGAGTAAGTAAATGAGATAAAATGAATAAATGAGAGAGAGAAAGAATGAGTGCATGAGAGAGTACAGGCGCAGAGTTATGTAAACAAACCAGGCGAAGGTAAGTTTTGTAAACAAAGTGTACACGTCTAGTTTGTGTACAAGTTACATTGTGTACAGGTTGTCTCTACATTGATACGGTAGAATAAATAAAGAAGAACACTCCCATTCTCATGTAACATCATTTTGAGAAGAAATGATGCTCTGAGTGAAGGCAATGGGAAATAAGTCCACTCTGACTTTTTTGGGTTATCCTAGGTTCTCTACACATATGTTGTTATGTATGATAATCTATGTAACTGTATTTGTGTATACCTGAATAAACTTACATACATACGAAAGGAATAATTTTCTACAGTTACCCCCAGTAACACATTTTCTCTTATGTTAGATTAGAGAAAATGTTATTCTTGGCGTCACTTGTACAAGTTATCTGGCTACCACATCTCATATTTATGTTTATTTATTCTATTGTGGGGTGTATTTATCATCTTTTTATGTTATGTATCGTGTTTATTATATAATTTTGAAAAAAATATCATGGATGGATTAATGAAAATCTGTATATTAACGTAATATACAACATTTAATGAGACTCGGTGATTATTATTATTATCATTTCTAATATGGCGTCACTTGTACAAGTTATCTGGCTACCACATCTCATATTTATGTTTATTTATTATATTGTGGGGTGTATTTATCATCTTTTTATGTTATGTATCGTGTTTATTATATAATTTTGAAAAAATATCATAGATGGATTAATGAAAATGTGTATTTAACGTAATATACGACATTTAAATGAGACTCGATGACTATTATTATCATTACTAATATGACGTCTGGAGACATAAGACACTCTACTGATTTTAATGTGTACCTGCATGCCAGCACAGTATGTAAGTTTATTTAAGTACAGGTATACATAAGTATAATTATCAGAGTATATATAAAATATGAAATAACTTTTAAAAACATTTGAAATTTTGGAGTTTCCAGACAAAATAGAGAGACTTAGTGCTTACTGAGCTCACGAAGAATGTAAACAAACAGGGTGGGGCGCGGTGACCGTATTAGAAAGTCAGGTGGGGGGAGCCGTATAGCGAGTTTTGGTCATAATTTGAAATGACCGTATTAGCAGAACGCCGTAAAGTGAAACGCCGTAAAGCGGGGCCCTGCTGTATATATATGTTAAACACATTGGCTTGTAAGACATGTATATACGACCAAAACAATCAGAAGGTTACTATTAAAGTGTGCTAATAATGTGGAAGACTTGTCAGCCATATTTACAACTGTAATAAAAAGACTAAATTCTCTTTAAAGGTATGTGTCTGCCTTTGTGACTGCTGGTAGAATACGACTTATATGTCTCCATGATGTGAAAAATGATGATGGAATTAAAAGCTTCTTTATGGAAATGTATGAAACTTATATCAAGGTGAGTACTTTAGTGAATAATTCATTATCTCTTCATATGATGTTCTTCTTATTCGTTTTAGTAATTATTACAGGAAAAGGGGGGGGGGTTACTAGCCCAAAGAAGGGAATGTATGAAATTATAGTACTACCAACACACTTATATGGGTGTGAAGCTTGGGTTGTGAATGCAGCAGCGAGGAGACGGTTGGAGGCAGTGGAGATGTCCTGTCTAAGGGCAATGTATGGTGTAAATATTATGCAGAAAATTCGGAGTGTGGAAATTAGGAAAAGGTGTGGAGTTAATAAAAGTATTAGTCAGAGGGCTGAAGAGGGGTTGTTGAGGTGGTTTGGTCATTTAGAGAGAATGGACCAAAGTAGAGTGACATGGAGAGCATATAAATCTGTAGGGGAAGGAAGGCAGGGTAGGGGTCATCCTCAAAAAGGTTGGAGGGTGGGGGTAAAGGAGGTTTTGTGGGCGAGGGGCTTGGACTTCCAGCAAGCTTGCGTGAACGTTTTAGATAGGAGTGAATGGAGACGAATGGTATTTGGGACCTGACGATCTGTTGGAGTGTGAGCAGGGTAATATTTAGTGAAGGGATTCAGGGAAACCGGTTATTTTTATATAGCCGGACTTGAGTCCTGGAAATGGGAAGTACAGTTCCTGCACTCTAAAGGAGGGGTTCGGGATATTAGCAGTTTGGAGGGATATGTTGTGTATCTTTATATGTATATGCTTCTAAACTGTTGTATTCTGAGCACATCTGCAAAAACAGTGATTATGTGTGAGTGAGGTGAAAGTGTTGAATGATGATGAAAGTATTTTCTTTTTGGGATTTTCTTTCTTTTTGGGTCACCCTGCCTCAGTGGGAGACTGCCGACTTGTTAAAAAAAAAAAAATGTTCTTACCTTATGTGTCTATGGAAGCATAAGTCTTTCTTTCAACACACCGGCCGTATCCCACCAAGGCAGGGTGGCCCAAAAAGAAAAACAAAAGTTTCTCTTAAATTTAGTAATTTATATGGGAGAAGGGGTTATTAGCCCCTTGCTCCCGGCATTTTAGTCGCCTCTTACAACACGCATGGCTTATGGAGGAAGAATTCTGTTCCACTTCCCCATGGAGATAAGAGGAAATGAACAAGAACTAGAAAGAAAATAGAATACCCAGAGGGGTGTGTATATAAATGCTTGTACATGTATGTGTAGTGTGACCTAAGTGCAAGTAGAAGTAGCAAGACATACCTGAAATCTTGCATGTTTATGAGACAGACAAAAGACACCAGCAATCCTACCATCATGTAAAACAATTACAGGTTTTCGTTGTACACTCACTTGGCAGGACGGTAGTACCTCCCTGGACGGTTGCTGTTTACCAACCTACTACCTAGGGGAAGCATAATTGTTAACACTAATTGCATTCAGTGAGTTATATCTGTATGCTACTACTTTTATTCTCTCCTATTCTGATGCTTCAAGTTGTACACCTGTCAGCATAGTTGCTGATCCCCTACATTTGTTGTATAGCTTATCTGAGTATTATAGTGCCATCCATATGTTTTACATACACGACCCCTTTGCTAGGCCTAGTGACTAGTTTGTATGACGTCACGTGATCCCGCATGAGTGCGTGGGCTGCGCTGCACTGGCCTCAGTTCCTGTTAGACCTTCTAGGCAACAACAGTCAGTTTGGGCTCTCCCTTCTCACACTCTGCAATATAGTGTTACCATCCAACAAGTGTGTTTTACTCCAATCATCATATCTCCTACGAGCCCCCACTACAAATGGTGCCAGCGGAGGGTCTGTAATTCTGACGATTACAGCAATTTCTGGAGATAAATTTCTACTGAGCCGGTCACCATTTTGTGACATTTTAGGCCTCCCGAGACGGGTGACGCTCAACATCCCAAGCCAGCTACCCCGAGCAAGCGTTCACCAGCCTATTGCTTCCTACTTACTGGTCAGTCTCTGTGTATTAGTTTTATGTGCTTATTTGCATTACTTCCGAGGGGTTGACCCGAGTTTGCAAAGTAAGCCAGGCCACCAAGCCAGTCTGGGGGGGGGGGGGAGTCCAGCCCAGCTCTACAC